GACAAGCCACGTATGGGTTCAGCACTGTACCTGTCACAGCAGACAGGCAACCAAGCAGAGTTCACACACACCACCTGTGTTTAGTCCACACTGTTTTTCCTTCTGAAGTTAGGGTTGCTGCCAACATGCATGAGTTAGTTGATTTTGCATACAAAACTGGGTTTCTTGTCTCTCTTGAACATAATCAGATCTGAGGACACTGGGTCTTCATTCTTAGAGCTACAGCTGGCTGCTCTCCTAGAGCTGTGCACTATTGACCTGCCTCAATCCCTACCCTGCTCTTTTGTGCCCCATGTCATCTCATGTATCATTCCACACATCCATACATCTGATGGCAAGGCTCGAAATCTTTGTCATCAACATTAGCCTTCATCCACAGACCGCTGCAAGGCACCAGGCCCAGTCGAGGACTAGGTTCTATCTTAAGGCTCCCAAATCCCCTTCTTTCTCCCTTCAGCTGGTCAGAATGCCCCTTCCTCTATGAAGCTACCTCCCTTCTCTAGTTCACTTGTCCCATAACCCCTACCCAGGCTTGGTCACACTGTCCTATCAACTTTCTGACATGGCATTGGTTTGCCATGTCAAGGCCTTTAGAGCCTTATTTGGAAAGTTGAATTGTCCAGGAGAAATCATAGTATTTGGAGAAATGAGAGAATGAAATAATGGGGGGGGGGGAGAAGGAAGAGGCTGAGAGAGTTCATCCCACTAGGCCTCCCAGTGACTTCCCAAGACGTAAAATTAGCCTGCCATACAAACTCAGAGACATAAGGTCATTTTCCCAAGTGTCCTGTTACAGTGGCTCCAGGAATGGACCCAGGTGCTTTTAGAAGACAGGGCTCAAGCCCAGAGACCTGTTTGGTTTTGTCTTGTTAGGCATGAGGCAGATTTCTCCCTGGCTTGTGTGTTTTCAAGACTAGTTATTTACTTGGCTCAGCATATGCATTCACAGGTTTCCCATTCATTCCTTTCCTCCCTGTTCATCCCTGAAGTCACTTAGGAAGTCACTGGGTCCCTATTTCCCCCTCCATTGCTCCTCCTCCTGGGCTCTACCCTTAGCCTTCATCTAAGCCAACTGCTGGGCATGCTTCAAGGGAAGAGTGGGCATGCTCTTCCTACCCTAATGCCAAATCCCCATAAAATGACCCTCAAAGTTAATCCCCTGAGCTCTTCAGTGAGGTTTCCTGGACTAATCCACCAGGTTTCTAGAATAGGTTTCTGTCAGATTCCTCTCTCTGTAACCCCTTAGTTACTGTAACCCCTTAGTTTCAATGGCTTTAATGAGCTCAGAGGGCAATCCTTCTGTATCTGTACTTGACATTTGAAGTATTTAAGACATAACACCCAAGAGGTCAGCAGCTATATACATAGACATATATAAAGTCATTGTGGTGGCTTGAATAAGAGTGGCCCCTATAGTCTTGTATGTTTGATTGCTTGCTCCTCAGCTGATGGAACTGTTTGGGAAGGATTAGGAGGTGTGGTCTTGTTGGAGGAGGTGTGTCACCCGGGTCAGGCTTTGAAATTTCATTCCCAGCACTCTCTCTCTCTCTCTCTCTCTCTCTCTCTCTCTCTCTCTCTCTCTCTCTTACTTGTGAATTAGAAGTAAGTTCCCAGATACTGCTCCTGTACCATGTCTGCCTGCTTGTTGCCATGCTCCCCAACCTTGATGATCATGGACTCAAACCCTCAGGAACCATGAGCCACCAATTAAATGCTTTCTTTTATAAATGGCTTAGTCTTGGTGTCTCTTCACAGTAATAGAACAATAACTAAGACAGTCACAGACATGATGAAAATGGCCTTTTAAAGCCTGCCCCTGGGTGGGAAGCAAGAGCCTTGAATTAAGTCCCCTTCATTTAATCGACTTGGGAAGGTCTCATATTTTTTCCACTGGCTTGAGTTTTGCTATGTACAGGGCAGAGCTGGAGAGATGGCTCAGCTGTTAAAGGCTAGGGTCACCACCAAAAATATATACTGTAAGTCAGTTTGTGCATTAGAGTTAGATCTTGGACCCACTGCCAGTGGCCTCAAATATTGTCCCAGCTGCACCATTGTCACCTATATTAAGGGAGTCTAGTTCATTCTTATGTAGATTCCCTATTTGTCAGACCTGAGTCAATGATTTCTTACTAGCTGGGGTCAGCCAATTCTGTGGGTTACCCCATCATGGTCTTGACTCCTTTGTTCATATTATTGCTCCTCCCTCACTTTGATTGTACTCCAGGAGGTTGACCCAGAGGAAGCACACTTTTAGCAAAGGCGGCTGGAGCCATTGGACATCCATATGCACAGATGTGTGCACACACATGCACTATATAAACACATTTCTTTCTTTCCTTTTTTTGTTTTTGTTTTTCAAGACAAGATTGCTCTGTGTAACAGCTTTGGCTATCCTGGAACTCACTCTACAGACCAAGCTGGCCTCAAACTCACAGAGATCCATCTGCCTCTGCCTCCCAAGTGCTGGGATTAAAGATGTGTGCCACCATCACCTGGCTCACATTTCTTTTTTTAGTTTAAAGTTTATGTGGGTGTTTTGCCTGTGTGTGTTTCTGTATACCACATGTATACAGTGCTTACAAAGGCCAGAAGAGGGCATTGAATCACTTGGAATTGGAGTTCAGATGGTTATGAGCCACATGGGTGCTAAGAAAAGAACCTAGGTCCTCTGGAAAAGCAGCCAGTATCCTTAACTGCTAAGTCATCTCTCCAACACATGAACTTTTTAAAAAGAAAGAAAAGCACAAAATTCTGAAAGGAAAAAAATTAATTTGGACCTCACCAAAAGTTTAAATTTCTTGTCTATAAAAGTCCATAATAAAAGACCTTTTTTAATGGTCTGTAGACTTGAAAGAAATCCTAGTAGACCATCTATCAAGAAAAGGACTTGTTACCAGAACATACGAAGAACTTCTAACACTCAACCATGGGAAAACCAATCCAATTAGAAAACAGGCCAAAGACAGAAATAGATATTTCACTAACAAGATAAGCACACAGAAGATGTTCAAAACACTACCTACTAGGAAATGTGCTTTAGAACAAGAAGATGGTACCTATAAGAGAGCTAAGATTTAAAATAATGGAAGCACTGGCTATTGTTGAGGATACGGAGAAACTGAGCCCCACATGCATTGCTGCACAATGGTTCCATCTCCTGAGAGACACTCCTGTGTTCCTTCTAAAACCACTAGGCAGGGGCTGCAAAAACAGCTCAACAGGCAGGAGCACTTGCTTTTGCAGAAGACTCAGGTTTGGCTCCCAGCACCCACAAAGCAGCTCACAACTGCCTGTAACTCCAGCTCCAGGGGATCTGAGCCTCTCTGGCCTCCACAGGCTCTGAGGGAAAGCAGGCGGCACACACATACACACTCAGGTACACACACTTATGCACAAAACAAATTTTTTAAAATCATGCAATTACTGTACTTCCCAGCAATTTTACACTTAAGCATTTATCCCAGAGAAATGAAACCTTAACATTTATATAAAACCCTATATAAGAATGTTCATATTACCGTTATTCATAAGAATTCCAAGCTGAAAAGTCTGTCTTATAGTGTGTATGGATTATAGTGTATAGTGTGTATAGTGTGTATGTCTTATAGTGTGAATGGTTAGGAAAAAATGCAACACATACACACATGCACACACACACACACACACACACACACACACACACACACAGATAAGATAAGTGAGTGGTGCCACCACTGTGGTGATGATTCCTGTTGCTATCAGAAGCAGTCTGAGCAAGCTAGTATGCAACATTCCTCCATGACCCTCTACTCCAGTTCCTGCCTCCACTTTCCTGCCTTGAGTTCCTGCCCTGACTTCCCTGGATGATGGACTCTGACTGTAAGCTGAAGTAACCCTTTCCTCCCCAGGTAGCTTTTGGTCATGGTGTTTTATTACAGCAACAGAAACCCTAACTAAGACAAGGGATATGGACAATAATCTAGATGAATCTCCAGGGAGTCACACTCGGATCACCTCTGTAACCATGGGTCAAAACCACCCATAAATAAGAGTACTCAGAAAGCATGGCGTCTATGCTGGATGCGTAGACATTTTCCTTGCCATCATCCCCTCTAACAACCATTCATGCCATATTAATGTGGCATTAGGGATTGCCAATGATCTAGAGATGACAGAGTACACAGGAAGCTGTGTATTGGTTACACAGAGGTTCTGTGCCATTTTATACAAAGGTCTCATGCATCCTTGGCACCCACATGCTTTTAGAATTCTGTATCTTGGCAGGTACTAAACCTATAGATGTGATATCAGTATTGAAAATTAAACACAAATATATATATAGATAGATATATAGATATATATAGATACTTATAGATAGATAGATAGATAGATAGATAGATAGATAGATAGATAGATACACATATATGCAAGTACAAATAAAACTTGGAAGCCTGAGTAAGACTGGTAGATTAACACACACCCCAGCCATGAAGCCTCCTACAGCAATGCAAGATGATACCATAAATAAAGACTTGGAAGCAGGTAGCCCCATATCTCTGTGTTACTCCTTCCATCTGGGTGGGAACTTATCGTGATCTCCATAAGTTTTTCAATTTATTTTCAAAATGGCTCTTGTTGGTATTTTTTTCTATTTAAAGATTTACATTTTAATAATAACTTGCAAGTCTATATAAAAAGATGGAGGAAAACTTATTGAAAATCTAAACATTCACAGCATCTCTTTCTGACCATTGCTTTCTCTCTCTCTCTCTCTCTCTCTCTCTCTCTCTCTCTCTCTCTCTCTCTCTGATACAGAGATTCTAGTATGGGGAAACAGATTAACACTGAAGGAGATGAGGCAGTGATAAGACTCAGAGTAGTGGGCTTTGCTGTCTTCTGCCTTCTGTGACATCAGAACTCATGCTTGGCTAGTGACCAGGGGTGGGGGAGGGGAGGAACCTGCCTGCCTGTCCACTGAGAGTACTTCCATCCACCCAAACAGTCTGACCCTGAGCAGAGACATGGCAATCCAGAAGATGGGTGGCAGGGGGCAGGGGGCAGCTGAGCTGCTTGAACAGAGAAGCAGCCACAGTGATGACAGGAAGCAGGTAAGACCAGGGCACATTCTGTTTCCTCCTGTCCCTCCCTGCTTCAGATCCAGCTCCCCTGGAGCCCACCACAGGGACTCAAGTGTCCCTTCCCATAGCCCTCACACAATCCCTTCATTCTCATTCAGACCAAACAAGAGAGTGTCAGATTCATACATTAAAGTCCTAAGCCCCAAGTGACTCGACTTGTAGACAAGGCTTCTAAGTGGGTGACTGCTGTTAAGTCTCTGGTCTCATGGGCCAGGCTGTACCCTTATCGAAAGAGGTGGCAAGGAGCACCATCTGAAAAACCATCTGAGGACATGGTGAGAGGTGACACCTGAAAGCCCAGCAGAGAGACTGCATCCAACAGCATAAACTGATAGAAAATCTGTGTCTGCTGTTCAAAGCCTCTAGTCTGTGGTGTGATGGGATGGTGGTGCCAGTATGGCTGGTGGCTGGCAGATAGGGACTCATACACATTTAGCATTGACAAATAGATGTGCAGAACAATAAAGCAACAGTACCCAGGAACGCCCATGTGACACATCAAAGGCATCAATATAATTTAATGAGGAAAAAAGAGTCCTGAAAATAATTGTAGAACTGAATATCTGTTTTTAAAACTCTCCAGCCATATTTTACATTATATGAAAAATTTACTCTAAAATGGATCATCCACATAAATATAAACAATAAATGTAAAACAATAACATGTTTAGAAGAAAAAAATCAAACTTTAGAAGAGACATGTTCTAGACTTCACATGAAAAGCACACCCCCAAAAGGATGAATTGGGCTTTATAAAAAGAAACTTGTTTGCTGGGCGTTGGTGGCACACACCTTTAATCCCAGCACTTGGGAGGCAGAGGCAGGTGGATCTCTGTGAATTCGAGACCAGCCTGGTTTCCAGAGCGAGTGCCAGGATAGGCTCCAAAGCCACAGAGAAACCCTGTCTCGAAAAACCAAAAAAGAAAAAAGAAAGAAAGAAAGATAAAGAAAGAAAAGAGAAAAAGAAACTTGTTCATTTTTCAAAAAGATACTGACATAAAAATGAAAAGGTAAGCTGCAGAGTCGATAAACTATTCACAGAGAATATTTTTCCAATTACTTAGATCCAAAACATTCAAAGAACTCGACAACTTAATCAGAAAATAGACAGTCCAATAAAAATTGAGCAAATGACTTCAATAGGTGTAACAAAGATATGTAGATTAACAGCCACCAAAAAGCCATGATGAGAGGCAAAACCTCCTGGTTGGAGGGATGTCTCTGCAGCTAGGAGCACTTGTTGCTCTTGCAGCGTTCCAGGTTTAGTTCCCAGCACCTGCATGGTAGCTACTAACCATCCATAGTAACTCAAGTTCCAGGCGTTCCAAAGCCTTCTTCTGACTTCTGCCAATATCAGGCAGGCACATATTTGCACATACATACATGCAGGCAGAACAATTATAATCATAAAAAAAAGTCTTTAGAAATCAAAAATATGCTAAACCTCATTGATCATTTGGGAACCACTTATAAAGTAGGTTGAGATGTCTCTACATAATAGCAATAGAATGCCTAAAATTAAGATTGGCAATATTCAGACAAAAATAGAGAACAAAAGGAATTCTCTGACTGGCTGATAGGATGAAGTAGAGTAAACGGCTTGAGAAACAGTCCTGCATACTGTTCTAGAATTAAGCATACATTCACCTAACGTCTGAGTAGTCGCCCAGCAGAAATGAGAAACATGTCTACACAAAGACAGGGTACATGCATGTTGAAGGCACTTTTGTACATGACTGTAAACAACTCACCAGGAGGTGAGGATCAATTGTGTTAGGCTCATGCAACATATTCATCAATAAAGTTGAACACACAAAAGCATGGAGCCACATCAAAAACATTATATGAAAGACATCAATGACTCATTTCCACAAAACTCACAAATGGACACAATGTGACTGTCGGTGTCCCAGTGGACTGACTGAGCGAGGCATGGGGGACCTTTCAGGATGATGGATGAGGTCAGATGTACACTTGTCAAAACTGATCAGACTGTATGCTTTTAAAATGTGTGCATTTTGTTGTATATGAACTACACCTCCATAAAATTGGGGCGTCCCACAATTCAATTGGAATAAAAAGATTTTAAGTGATTCAGAAGGACAGCAGAGTGGGAGAGGAGGAAGAGGAAGTGGAAGACATATATGTCAAGGCATTGCCCTGTCATCCGTTTCTGCAACAGTTGGAAGCACGTGTGACTTAGACCGTGGGAAATATCTACAAATGAGTGATAGCTTCCCCTATGACTGAACTCCTGTCAGGGGGATGGAGCCTTCTGCACCCTGGAATTCAGCTTCCTGTCTCCTTCCTCTTCTTCTCGTTGCAGACACTGTTAGCTCTGCTGGTCTTGGTGCTGTATCTGGGCACAGGGATATCAGGTGAGTATTCTGAAACCCAAGAAGGGAGAAACCAAATCCAGAGAGTGGGGTGGAGGTCTCAGGAGGGGTCCTGCAAGGCACCCTATACCCTGCCCACTCCTACTTCCCCTCTGTGCCGGTTTCAGGAAGCGGCTGGGAAGTATCAGGACGGATCAGGGACTGCAACCATGCTCAGAATCCTGTGGCATCCCAGGTGACACTCAGAGATGTGCTAAGGGGCCCAGGAAGGCTTCTCAGAGGAGATATTATCAGCTAGCAAGTTTGGGAAGGATAAATAGGAGCTAGTCAGTGGAGAAGGTAGGATGGGGAAATCCAGGCAGAATGGACAGCATTTGCAAAGACATAGGGAATTTTGTCAAACAATGAACATTGATGCAAAAATTCTCAATAAAATATTGGCAAATCGAATCCAAGAACACATCAGAGAAATTACCCATCCCGATCAAGTAGGCTTCATCCCAGGGATGCAAGGATGGTTCAACATAAGAAAATCCATCAATGTAATCCACCATATAAACAGACTGAGGGAAAAAAATCACATGATCATCTCACTAGATGCTGAAAAAGCCTTTGACAAAATCTAACACCCCTTCATGATAAAGGTCCTGGAGAGATCAGGGATAACAAGAACATACCTCAACATAATAAAACAATATACAGCAAGCCGACAGCCAACATCAAATTAAATGGAGAGAAACTCAATGCAATTCCTCTAAAATCAGGAACAAGACAAGGCTGTCCACTCTTTCC